AATTTAGAGGAATGGAGGTAGCAGCTATTAGCATACAACAGTGCAGATGCACACGACAGCGGTCACGGTGGCAAATTTATAGGAATGGAGGTAGCAGCTATTAGCACACAACAGTGCAGACGCACGCACACAACAGTGCAGACGCACACGACATCCGCGTACGCCCCCAGAATGTCTAACGTTGCTTTCGGAACCCGTAAAATAAGTCTGTGAAGCAGCGTCGAGCACGCCCTGTCTTCCGCTTTCGACCCTTCAGCAACGCTTCAAGCCGCCGGCTGTCACGGAAACGCCTCGGAAGCATCGAAAAAGCCGTACGGGTCCTCTGCCTAGTACACAAGAAGCCGTTCTCTCACCTCCCACGGGTCCTCTGGCCACGGGTCCTCTGGCTGGTGCACAAGAAGCCGTTCTCTCACCTCCCACGGGTCCTCTGGCTGGTAGACACCTGTTCCGAGTGATTTCCTTCGCCACAGCTTTCCACAATCTAATTCGAGACCAAAAATCGCCCGAAAGAGGTCCTCCGCGTACGCTCTCAGAATGTCTAACGTTGCTTTCGGAACCCGTAAAACAAGTCTGTGAAGCAGCGTCGAGCACGCCCTGTCTTCCACTCTCGAACCTTCAGCAACGCTTCAAGCCGCCGGCTGTCACGGAAACGCCTCGGAAGCATCGGAAAAGCCGTTCTCTCACCTCCCACGGGTCCTCTGGCCACGGGTCCTCTGGCTGGTAGACACCTGTCCTTCGCCACAGCTTTCCACAATCTAATTCGAGACCAAAAATCGCCCGAAAGGGGTCCTCCGCGTATGCCCCCAGAATGTCTAACGTTGCTTTCGGAACCCGTAAAATAAGTCTGTGCAGCAGCGTCGAGCACGCCCTGTCTTCCGCTTTCGACCCTTCAGCCACGCTTCAAGCCGCCGGCTGTCACGGAAACGCCTCGGAAGCATCGAAAAAAGCCGTTCTCTCACCTCCCCTTTGGCTGGTACACAAGAAGCCGTTCTCTCACCTCCCACGGGTCCTCTGGCTGGTGCACAAGAAGCCGTTCTCCCACCTCCCACGGGTCCTCTGGTAGACACCTGTTCCGAGTGATTTCCTTCGCCACAGGTTTCCACAATCTAATTCGAGACCAAAAATCGCCCGAAAGAGGTCCTCCGCGTACGCCCCCAGAATGTCTAACGTTGCTTTCGGAACCCGTAAAATAAGTCTGTGCAGCAGCGTCGAGCGCGCCCTGTCTTCCGCTTTCGACCCTTCAGCCACGCTTCAAGCCGCCGGCTGTCACGGAAACGCCTCGGAAGCATCGAAAAAGCCATTCTCTCACCTCCCACAGGTCCTCTGGCTGGTACACAAGAAGCCGTTCTCTCACCTCCCACGGGTCCTCTGGCCACGGGTCCTCTGGCTGGTGCACAAGAAGCCGTTCTCCCACCTCCCACGGGTCCTCTGGCTGGTAGACACCTGTTCCGAGTGATTTCCTTCGCCACAGCTTTCCACAATCTAATTCGAGACCAAAAATCGCCCGAAAGAGGTCCTCCACGTACCCCCCCAGAATGTCTAACGTTGCTTTCGGAACCCGGAAAACAAGTCTGTGAAGCAGCGTCGAGCACGCCCTTTCTTCCGCTTTCGACCCTTCAGCCACGCTTCAAGCCGCCTGCTGTCACGGAAGCATGCCCTCGGTTGCCTCCTCTGGCGCGCGCCCCCTTCAACCGGCGGGGTCGGCGGATTTTAGAACCCTTTTGACATGGCTGTGAGTTGAAACCCCCTCCAAACCGTAGGACATAGACACCATCCCTTATCAAGAAATCTGTTCATTTGACCCGAAATCCACCAGTCTGCCCGCCATGACCCATCACCCGTTCTCTAGTCACGTCCATGTCACATCCATCGTCGCAGCCGCTTCCGATCCCCTGCGTTCTCCGTGCGCTACTTCCGTGCTCGAAGGCAACCCGACCAAGTGCATCCGACGCGAGGTTACACATCGAAGCCTCCACCGCCCCCACGACGGGACATTCCGATGCGATTCCGATCCTCGAGAGGATTCCGATTCCGGTGCCAGGATCGAAGTGAGAGACTCAAAGATCGATTTCATGACTCATGAACTACCCCACCGTATATAGTGGTGGATGGATTGAGTACCAGGTGGAGTAGTTCATGAATCGAGTCACGGAAGTTCTGGGTATACGTCCTAAGTCCTTCACCATAAACTTCAACAGATGAACAATATCTTGCACTTAGATGCTCTCATATTAAGAATGCAGGTGACAAAGACGATCAAGGATCCATGTCAGTTGGAAGATCTAGTTCGCCCAGTTTCTTCCCCTTTTCATCTTCGGTCCGCGGCACGTTGGCCAGGGCTTGCGGAACGTCTCGTTAGAGCTCCATGGGGTCTTCAAGCAAGACACGGAGAGCGGTTCCCGCGGGGTTGGAACGCGGGCGGTTCCGGGTGGACCGGTGCTTCGCCGTGGTGTTTCGCGGGTGGGGGAGGGTGCGCCTTGGGGCAGAGAGGAGGTTTGTGCGGAGCTGAACAACTTGGCTAAATGCTTGCTTTTTGTTGCAAAAAGGCAACATGGACGATCTGCAAGAGATCATTGTAGGTGGCTGCCCGCAAACGGAAGAAGCAGGGTGACAGGAGGAGACGGAGCGTTTGTTGCGAGCAAGACTGAGGTTCCACTTTATTGTATGTCTTAGTGTGCATGGTGTGCATGTTGCTGGGAAAAATGTTCCTGCAGAGCAAGCTCGGGTGGCTCATTCTTTGTCTAAGGCTCCAACGCACATGCTTCATGTCGTGACATCTCTTTTCCTTTACACTCAAGCCTTGTGTGACCCATGCGGTGCTTTCCAGGTGGTCCATCCACAGACAAGACGTTTGTGATGGAAGCTGTGTGCGCGAGCTCTTTTGTTTTAAATTGGGTCTTCAGGGCTTCGGCAGCTTCTTTGAGGGTGGTCCGGTCTCATCATGCCTTGTGGTGACTTTTTCGCTGGATGTGACTCAAGCAGACCGATTGGTAGCGAGTGCGGTTTTGATTGCAGTGGGCTTGTTTCAGGGGGTGCCCCCGTGCTTTGGTGCCCACAACTTGCCGCAAGAAGACGAAGCCCCTTCTGTGCAGATATGATATCAGGATCATAATCCTGCCGCTTCGCAGGGTGAAGCCGCAGAACTTCAGGTTTGGTTTGTTTTGTGTGTGGATGTTCTTCATTTTGTTTTGCGGTAGCCGAATTCGTTACAAGGCAGTCACAACAATTAGTCATTATCACCTCATAGTTTCGAACAACTGGGACCAAACAAATTCTGGAGGGTTCCAAATTGACAACCCTTCCCCGTAGAATCCTGCAAAGCACAGATTTATGTCATTTCACATGGTCGAATTCCTCAAGCCGACCGCGGCTGAGCCACATAGATGTTACAAGACCCGGCAATAAGAAACATCCCCCGAAACATGTGTGTGAATCCACACAAAGTTGTGCGCCAACTTGTCTCCTCTAATGTCTCCGTGATGACTTGCATCACTGACATTCATCCTACTTTCAACATCTTTCAACTAAACCAAACATACCAGGTCTGCCAGTCTCCACTTGGTTTCACCGTCCTCAACATTCCAGTCCTATCTACCTACCCTGGCCCAATGGTGGACTAGTGTATTTTCCGAACCTTTCAGGGGGTCGTTTGCTGGGAGGACACCCAATTGACTGAATGGAGGTGATATTTTTGTTGAGTTGTTCTTGGTTAGGCTTTCTAACCATAACCATGCCCTGAAATCACCACGGAAAACTGACATGGCCTGGGTAGCAGGCACTGCGAGGGAGTTGTTTGAACCCCTTTAACCATTGGGCTATATCGTTTTTCTTTGGCGAGGGCAACCAAATTCTTTGAGGTTTTCATTCGGGCATGTGAAAGTGACTGCGTTCAGTTGTTTGCGTTTGAAGCATCTTTTAGAAGAGTCAATATGAGGAAATCTTTGGTTCCTTCTGGGTGGGCGACATGTTGCAAGCGTGAGTTTGTGCACAGAAAAACACAGGACATTGGGGATTGGCATCTACTGGCAGTGTTTATCACCGACCACTTTTGAGAGGTCCCAAATACTGACTATACGCTTTCTTCAGACTGTTTGGCTGAGCTCTAAGTTTTGGGGTCCTTCCCATCTAAGATCTTCATCTCAGCAAGACGAGCGGGTTTGGAGCGTCGGGTGTTTGGAAGCAGAGGACGAGCCCTTTCCACTAGCCAGCACCTTAGCGGGGATCATGTTCTTGGCGCTGATGATGGTCGAGGCCAGACCGGAGACCGACGGCCTGAACTGAACGGAATGCAACGCCATCAGCTGTTTTGGAATGCGGGACGTGATCAGCAAAAGGAACAAAAGGAACACATCCACATGATCCACTGTTCACAGCATCTTGGAAGAGCTGCGGTGCTTCCGTGGTGTCTTCGATGTCTTCGAAGGCGATGACTTCTGAGTTTCCACAAGCTGAATTGTCCTTTGCTATGCCTTGCCCCAACTGGCATCGGAGCATGCGAAGCCACAAGTTCGTTGGCTCTCTGTGGACTCGTGGCTTTCACTTGAGAATGAACGACCATTGGGGCTTCCGACGTGAAGAAGCTGCAGTGACACTCCCCCGAAGTCCTAAACAGTTGACCATTTTAGATGCTGAATGGGGTTCGAAGACCACCAGGTTCTGGACGGCGGTGTGTTCGAAGGGAGGCTGATGGTCTTCATCTCCACAGATGGTCCTCTAACGACCTCTCTCCACGGGCGCTTCCCACCCACCATGCGACGTGCTCGCAGGCTCATGCGCAGCAGGCATGCTGCAGCGTCGATCCCGAGGAGCGTCCCGACGTCGGTGCTGCAGCGTGACAGATGTGCGCAGGGCACGGAACGGACGGCTTTCGGGTGAAACATCGGGTCATATCCACTAAAAGCCCTTGGATGGGAGGTTGCCACGCCACTCAACTACCCAACTCCATCTGTGACTCCTGGTGCTTTTGGTTTCCTCTTTTCGGAAGGGGTTCTGCACAGGACATGGACGAGAGGCGGGGTAGACCCACAGATCGATGCAGTAGACTCGGGTAGAGCTACTTATCGAAGTCCCGAAGCTACACATCGTTCGACCAAATGGTCCACACCTACCTCGTAAAGCAGGCGAATTGTTTGCATCTCTACTGCGAGACGGTATCTTCTGAGAAGAGACTTGGGCCCCTCTGAACCGATTTTGGGATCCATTCTTTTGGGTGGAGATCTTCCTTGCAGATCTCGTGAAGTGGGGAGGGTCTGTGCCGTCACACCAGTGATCCATCCTTCTGAAAGAATGAGACTGAGACTGTCTGATATGGGTGTTGCTTCGGTCAGAGGCAGAATGACACTGAGTGTGCCATGCTGAGGACCCTGTACCATTTGAGGGAGAAAGCGTGCATCCATCAAGACGAATGAAGAAATTCTGAAGAACAACATCAACAAGTGCCCCAGAAATTTCAGAGATCTTGCCGGACAGAATGGGCAAACGACATTCTGACCGCAGCTTCAGTATTGGACGCATTTCCGCCTTTCAATCATTACAATCGAAATCTTCGGATGACAGTTGGGTACAATACATGAAAATCAACCAAAACCAATGTTGGGTCTAAAAATAGGAGACATTCCTAGGTTCAACTGCAGGTTGTGTTCTTATTTTTTTTCCTGTTCTGTAGGTCCAACAGGAGTCCAAGAGTTGTAAGCACGAGGAGACTTCTGACATATAATGCTACATGATGTTCGCACAGACCTCATATGATGTTCGCTGGATTTTGGGCTCCTGATGTCCGACTCCCAACATCCCCGGTGACCGGCTCCGACGTGAGGTTCGCCGGCTCTTTCCTTCCTTCGGATTCTGGGGGCCACCGAACGATGGAATTGGATGGCAGACCGAACGATCCTCGTTTGGACCGGATTTGGCACTACAAAACCAGGTCCACCCATTTGTTTGGTTGGGTGGTCGAACGAAAGGCTCGGGTTTTGCGGTGAGTTCTGTTTTTGCTTTTCTCGGAGCTTCGTTGGTGAAGCGCCCGCTCCAATCCGCCTTGGGAGGCCAACCCCTGCCGCTGCTGCGAGGGCGACAGCATCAAGAATCCCTTTTCCAACAAGGTAGCGACGCGACGCGGACGCGGACGCGATGCGCTCCGCGAGGACCAGTGGATGTGTTGGATGGGTGTGGCGGACCGGTGGACCTACTCAGTGAGCTGCTGCGGACGCTGTGGTATGGAATACCCAGCTGTGAGTGTTTTTTCATCACTGATGAGATGTGATGAGTGATGGCGAAAAAAGCATGGCTTCTCAGATGACACTGGCTCCTCGATCGACATGGGCCGTCCCTGTCATCCCCTGTTTTCTTTTGTTTCAGACTGCCATCCCTTTGTTCTTCTCATTTCTTCTTGTTTTTTAAGACTTCCATGCCCAACGAAGCTGCGCCCCCAAACCCAAGCTCGGTAGATGCCCCAGACCCGCGCTCGAACCCGTTCGCCGGCTTCGACGCGAACCGCTTCGACTAGGCCTCGCCACTCCTGAAAGGCACCGGTTGGGGGATGGTTTTGGGAGAGGCCTATTGAATGATTCCTAGGTCCTACTGTAGGGTCTTGGAGTGAGGGGGTCTGGTAACCATCCCCTAAGTTCTCTTTTCTTTTTTCTCGGGTGTTTGGTGTTTGGATGGCTTTTCGGGGTTCCGCAACACCTGGGTGGGTGGGGGTAGCATCATCCAAAAGCTGAGAGACAGCTTCCCAGAAGTGACTCTCATACGAGGGAGAGCTCCTTTCGCACTGGATGAAGCAAAAGCAAGATTTTCCTGAGCAGGGTCCTGATATGCCAAGAAAGAGGGAAGCCTGTTGAGATGGGGGACACCACTTTGGAAGAACATATCTGCCATCCTGTGATAGGGACACCACTTTTGACTCAACATGTGATAGGGACACCGCTTTGGCTTCATGATAACGTGAATTGAATTGAAGTGATGAAGAAAACAGCCGATGAGTCTGTAGATGACGGCTGCGTGCGCTGCCTGTGCTGTGCCGGTGCATGGTCCAGGTAGATGCAGATGCTGGGGGTTCTCGAAGAAACCCAATCGCAACCGATTGCGCCATCTACAAACTCATCCATACCAACACAGGTTGAAGAACCCTGTAGACTATCCCATAGTGCCCGATAAGCACCCCGGGCCCCTTTTCAGGTCACCTAATCCTTGTTGAAGTGGCATCTCTACGCCCTTTGCAGACGGCCTCTCGCCACGAGTTGAATACTCGTGATACTCGTCCACATCCCAAGGATTTGACGCGTGCCGAACGAGTGCCGCGTCACTAGACTCTGAGTCACTCACAGTGAAGTGGTTATGTGGATGGGGCACATGATGACACCCCCCTGTTTGTAAACATGAGAAGAAGAACCAGCATTTTTTCAATAGCCTGAATCCTGAAGAACCATTGCTTTAAGGATTTTACATTCCGATACACAACGTTGCAAAACCAGATTCATCACTTTTAAAACGGCCTGGGACTTCCAGGGTAGATGAAAATCAGGGTCATCCAACGGTCCAACGGTCAACGATGATGTCCAGTATTTTTCCGCGCAGCCGCCCCGCCGCCGCGCAGGCCATGAGCCCGATTCTCCTACCACGGCCAATTGGAGCGCAGGATGGAGGATGGAGGGATTAGATGGGTTCGATGGCCTCCACCCTAGTAGCGATGCAGGGATGTAGGGTTCGATGAACGAACCTGAAAATTGGCCTTGTCTTTGAGGAAGCATACCGGTACCGTGGTCAAACACCCCATAGGACGTCGGGAACGTCAAAAATCAAAGCCAAATAGACCTAGTTCAAAGACCAGCTTCCTCGAACCAACTCGAGTGGTTTTTCAGGTTCGATGTGGTTTTTTTAGTCATATCGTCATATTCCGGAGGATGCAGGGTTCAACGACAGCGACATCCCGGGGTCTTTCCAGCCAAGCCCGGCGTCCGGTCGCTCCGAGCTGTAGACGGACGCTCCGTGACGCGAAAACGAAGCCAACATGGGATAAAGGTCAGTGAATGTGGCACGCATGGAGTGTCTGACAAAACCAGAAAAAAACAGGAAGAATGTCCGGAATCTTCTCTCTCCTGGTTTTTAGATCCACTCCTAGATCTGGAGTGGCAAAGCCACGCGTCTTCATTCACCCTTCGCTGGGGAGAGATGTTCACCGAGGTTCTCAACTTCTAAAAGCAGGCTGCTTGTCCATTTCCATGTTCTGACTGCCACCAGCTGACTTGCACTGATCCAGCCCGCCATCCCACGGCAGCTCAGGCGGCTCGGCAACGGATCTCTGCGCGAGTCATGGTCCTGGCCCTGGCGGTGCACTCCCTTCTGGAGGCTGAGAGCCTGCCGCCGGGAGGGGGGGAAGTGGGGGGAGGAGTGGGGTGAAGGAGGAAAAGAAGAGAGGCCGACCCCGAAAGATGTTTTGTTCGGTCTTCCACCTCTAAGTAGGAAAAAACCAGGAGCTAAAAGGACATGGACCCCTTTGTTTTGGATCACCCTGCTCAAACGGCTGGGTTCGATGTGAGGTCTTCCGTGGGAGAGGCCCTCGCCAAAGCCATATTCAATGAGCAAAATGTGTGATGGGATCTGTATGATATTGGGACACCACACCTGGATGCTTTGTTCTCGGATGTTCTCTCATGATCACTTCAGATCTTTTGGTGATTCGTGCATTCTACGATTCTACAAATGAAACCGAAGTGGAGAACCATTCGCCAACTTCGGCGCTCTTGACCTGCCCTTTTGGATGCCTCGGAGTGATCCCTTCTTGGGGATGGAACGACAAAGACACCAGAACATCCATGGGACTCGCAGCAAAAAGTACGCCTATATTGACCCTAAATCATACCACCCCTATATGACCGGTTAAGAGGTCATACACCGGAGTGTCTGGGAATGTGTTCGACGTTTCGGGGAATGGACCAAACGAGTAGGACTCTGAAATAGCTCCAGGAACCTCTGAAATAGCTTAAATGCTGCGTCCACTGCCCTTACTCAATTCAGTAGGCGCATGTTCTTCAGTGGCGGGCTATCAATACACATCGTTCTTCAGACCTTTTTCCCGTGCGAAGGGCATCAGCATCGGCGTCCTTGTGGCTCGGTTCGGAGTGACCGTGTTTGGGGAGGTGACGTGTTCGGAGTTCCGTGCGACGAGCGACGGGGTCATCGAGACGGACACGGGTTAGTTAGAACACCTGTGGGACATGGCGGGAAGGATGGAGTCCGTTTTGTTGGACGATTCATATATGAATGCTAATAATAATACGAACGGA